CCATGCAGGTCGAGGCTGCGGTGGCCGGGAGCGGCCACTGCGCTCCAGTCTGGGCAACAGAGTGAGACTCCAACTCAAAAAAGTAAAAAAAAAAACCAATTAGCTGGGCATGGTGGCATATACCTGTAGTCCCAGCTACTTGGGAGGCTGAGGAGGAAGGATCACCGGAGTCCAGGAGATCAAGGCTGCAGTGAGCCGTGATTGTGCCACTGCCCTGGACAACAGAGTGAGACCTTGACTCAAGAAACCCAAAAATACAATTTGAGTATTCATTAAAATACCGTAAGCATGAGGGTCATGGTCATGATTGGAGAAATAAGAATGACCAATGTCCTTGGGTGGGGAAAAGATTGGGACCCTGTGAACTGCATTTGAAAAAAATCTCCTGACTCTTTTATTATGTTGAATAATTCCATGTTACATGCGATCAATGACTTGAATAGGTCCTAAGGTTATTTAATGTAATTCACAACATATTTTGGGAAGAAAAAAATATAATGGGATTATTTTGAGAATTCACCAATTAACACCCAGAGATCCCTCATCTGCATGTGTTCTGTTATCCACACTTCTGGAGAAACAGAGTCGATGAGTTAAAGAGACTTGCAAAACCCTGGCAGCCAAAAGCCCAAGGTCAGGTCCAGGTAAAGCATGGGCATCACACCGTGCGCTGATCTGATTTTCACAGCCCAGAGGGATCGGCTAGGGACAGGGTGCAGGGCCTAGCAGGGCAAGGTGGGCGGGGTGGTCCAGGGCCTCCCTGCCCCGCTCCAGGCACCACCTCCATGTTTTCTCTAACCGGGAGCTGGGTCTCTTTGAGTCGCTTCCATCACGGGCAACGTCACTGGGCAGCAAAACTCCATGCAGAAAAATAAACTGAACTGCACAGCGGCCGTGGCTGGCGGCGGGAGAGCAGAGGCCCAAAGGTGCTGTTGTGACGTGCAGTTGGAGTCCAGGAGCATTGACGATGGACTTTGTGTCCCACGACGGGCGTGTGAGGAACACGACCCGCCCCAGGGAAAACCCGGGGATGGGGGAGATAGCCGGAGCGGGAGCAGGAGAGGATGAGAGGCCATGTGGCACCAGGCTGGGCGCCGGGCCTGGTGACCTCTGGCAGGCCGGCCGCTCCGGGGTCCAAGGTAAACACGGGGGCAGGACTGTCCCCGCCTCCTCTGGCAGGTGGCATTCCACCTGGCCGGGGCCGGCCTGCCGCAGAGCTGCCTCTTGGCTCCTGAAACGATTCTTTGTAAAACCAAAGCTCAAACAAGTTTAGTGTTTCAATGGCTTTTTTCCCCCCAAGTGCGTCTTTGTTGACTCCCAGTGTGTAATGCTTTTCTCCCCCGCCACTGTTAAGAAGAGACGTCCCATCACAAACCCGAAACGGACGAGATGAACGAGGTGGAAACGGCCCCTGTTCCTGAAGAAAATCACGTCCGGGTCCAACCCAGGGTGACCAGACCCACCAGGCCCAAGAAAGCCGAGGCGGTCAGCTACATGAGTGAGTGGGGCTGGCGGGCTGATGGGTCTCGTAGGCAAACATGGGGCCTCGGGGAGGCAGGGCTTCCAGAGCGCAAGCCTAAGGCAACTTGTGGAAGCGGCCTTTCTAAGTCATCTCTGAGGCAGCCTTGCAGGAGTGTGCCTGGGTGGCGTTGGCTCTCCCGGGCAGATATTTGAAGGCGAGGCCTTCCCCTGTCCTCTCAAAGGGGACCTAGGCTGAAACTGGGTTCCCCTGAAGGCCTGGTCCCTTGAGGGAGAAGGCGGGTTCTTCGCCAGGTCCCGACTTGGGGACTCGGCTCATTGCTCGGCTCTGAGACTCAGTTTGCTCGTCTGTAAAGCGGGGCCCTGGCACCCACGCCAGGGCTGCTGTGCGGGTCACGTGGTGTCCACCGAGGTCTCCCTGTGCTTTGAGATCGTCACAAGGTTGTCGCCAGCAGCCCTCCAGGACACTTTCCCCCCAGGACTTCTGGGAATCCCCAAATAGCGAACGTCCCCATGCGCACCCCCGACCCTGGCCCCCCGGGCACCTCAGCCCCAAAGCTCTCCTTCTTCTGTCATCACCTGCCCAGGGTGGTGCTCGGCTCCCGTCCAGCACCCCTATATTGCACGCAGCTGCCTTTGCTGAGGGTTGGGGCTGTGGGGGACTTTTACTCACGGCCATGGCCTCGCCCAGTGGACTGTCCTGGGTCTCTCTCTGATTCTCCTGAGCATTAAACACCATCAGCCCAATCCGTCTTTCTGTCCTCCCCGCCCCGCCCCCATGTTTAATCATTCTGTAGCTTTCTTTTTTTGAGTCGAGGTCTCACTCTGTTGCCCAGGCTGGAGTGCTGCGGTGCCATCAGAGCGTAGCCTCAACCTCCAGGGCTCAAGCAGTCCTCTCACCTCAGCCTCCCAAGCAGCTGGGAGGACTATAGGTGTGCGCCACTACCCGGCTAATTTGGGGGTTGTTTTTTTTATAGAGAGGAGCCACCCAGCTAATTTTGGGGTTGTTTTTTTTTTATAGAGAGAGGAGATCTTGCTATGTTGCCCAGGCTGTTCTTGAACTCCTGGGCTCAAGCAATCCTCCTGCCTCGGCCTCCCAAAGTGCCAGGTTGACAGGTGGGAGCCACCATGCCCAGCTTCACTCTGTAGCTCTCTTAACCAGGAAATACGTGGATGCCCTTGTCTGTCCAGACATTCAAAATGGTGCCATTGTTTCTTTTAATAACATACCATCAGCTGGGTGCAGTGGCTCATGCCTGTCATCCCAGCACCTTGGGAGGCTGAGGTGAGAGGTTTGCATTGCCTGAGCTCACGTGTTTGAGACCAGCCCCAGAGCGTGGCGAGACCTCATCTCTACAAGAAATCAAAAACATTAGCTGGTCGTGGTGGCACGTGCCTGTAGTTCCAGCGACTTGGAAAGCTGAGGCAGGAGGACGGCCTGAGCCCAGCAGGTCGAGGCTGCGGTGGCCTTGAGCGTGCCACTGCACTCCAGCCTGGGTGGCAGAGTGCGACTCCAACCTAAAAATAGCAACAACAACAAAATAACATACGATTATCACATATGTCCTTTCACAAACTATAACAGAACTCCCAGGCTCTCACATGTCCCTATAAAATACACAAAACAGGAAAGCTTGGCTGTGGGCATGACACCTGGGGTAACCATGGCTGGGTCTCCTGCCCCACGGGCTCGGGGAAGGTGTCCTCCCCGCCTCCCCCGAGTCCCGGCCTCCAGAGCCCCGTGGGGCCCTGGTAGGTAGTGTGTGCCAGCCTCCGCGGAGGCCAGCTTCTCGTTCTCATGTGATGATCAGGGAAGCACTTGGAGGTGGTGTTGTGCCTGCCCCGTGTGGGGAGATAGACCCTCCGAGGGGGAGCCGCCCATCCAAGGTCACACCACTGCTGGGGGACCTGGGGTCTGAGTCTCCTGACGGACGCCTGCGGCCACACGGACTTACTCTTGTGGCATGGATGCCTGAATGTTCCAGAATGTCCCCGCAAGTGGAATGAGGGATCGTCTCACCCTCCCGCTTTCTAGCTGTGACGTGTGTTTCTGCGTTTCTCTCCTAGCCCAAGCTGTGAGATGTGACACCAAAATGAAGGACAGGTGTAGAGGATCCACGTGCAACAGGTGAGGTCGGGGGTCCCCTTCCCGCCACCGCGTGCAGTCTCTGAGCACCTGCCATGGGTGATAGGTTGCCTCATGATCTGTCCGCGGATGGCCAGGCTGGGTAACATGGGAAAATGCACGCCCTATTTTCGCACAGAAGGGTGCCAGGCTGGGCCGGAAGCAAACTCAGTTTGCTCCAAGTCATACGTTAGGGTGACCACGGTGTCCCAGCGTTCCCTGCGGCTGCCACCACTTAGGAAGAGCTTGGCGCCGAGAGGGCCCATTTTTGTCACCTAGACCAGGGTTCCTCAGCTTCGGCACTAGCGCCATTTGGGGCTGGATCATCCTTTATCATGGCTATCGTCCCACGCACCGTGGGATGTTTCATGGTGTGAGGCCAAGGCAGGAGGATCACATTGCTCAGGAGTTCGAGACCAGCCTGGGCAACATAGTAAGATCCCAACTCTACAAAAAATTTAAAAATGCTCTGGGCGTGGTGGCACAAGCCTGTATGTAGTCCCAGCTTCTCGGGAGTCTGAGGTGAGAGGATCTCTTAAGCCCAGGAGTTCGAGGCTGCAGTGAGCTATGATTGCACCACTGCCCTTCAACCTGGGCGACACAGTAAGACTTGTCTCTTTAGAAAAAAAAAAGTCCTCATTTCAGAGCTCTCTGACACCGATTGGCTTGGTCTGAGATGGGCAGACGTGTTGTGTGTGGTTTGGATTTTTTAACGGGTGTTTCCAAGGCCCCTCTCAGGAATTCTAATATGCAGCCAGTGTGGGAGCCCCAGACTGGGGCGAATGTTCTTGAACCTGAGGGCCCGGCAGAATCTGTGAGGAGTCTGCTTAGCACAGACTCTGCCTCACCCTAGCCGGGGAGGTCGTGAGAGCCCAAGAGTCTGCCCGAGTCCATTGGAGAAACACTACACTGGGGCCTGGGAGAATTCACCATGTGGCACCTGAGATCAGGGGTCAGGGCCGAGAGGAGGTTTGCTTGGCTAAAAGAAGCCACATCCGGGCTGCAGGTGGGGGCTGGGCAGAATGGGATTGGACTTGGACTCTAAAAACCAGGGGGATCAGCCGGTGCAGCTCGGTGCTCAGGGGTGCAGCTCGGTGGCTCAGCCTGTAATCCCGCACCTTTGGGAAGCTGAGGTGAGTGGATTGCCTGAGCCCGCAGGTTCGAGACCCGCCTGGGCAGCGAGACATCATCTCTACAATAAATCAAAAAACCAGCCAGGCGTGGTAGCGCATGCCTGTAATTCCGGCTACTCGGAAGGCTGAGGCGGAAGGATCGCCGGAGCCCAGCAGGTCAAGGCTGCGGTGGCCAGAAGCGGCCACTGCACTCCAGTCTGGGGCAACCGAGTGAGACTCCAACTCAAAAAACAAACAAACAAAAAAGCCAGGAGGATGATCTCTGTTGGTGACAACAGCCATCTCACAAAGAAGTGCCTTCACCTGGGTCGAAAGTTCGCTCTTCATGGTGAAACAGATTGTGAGCTCCTGGTTCCGGAGGCTGGGAATTGGTATCTGACTGGTCCCAGCCTGCCCAAGACTCTGCCTGGCTTTAACACCAAAGTCCTGGGAAAGCCCTCGGTCCAAGGCCAGCTGGGATGCTGGGTTACCCTTGCTGGAAATGTGATTTAGACCGAGTTTTTCAGAGAGCAGCCAGGGGCTTTTGGATGAGACGAGCTGTACAGAATCCATGACCAGCCTGTCCCCAAGGGAGTCTCCCTGTCAGTCTGCCCCCCCCATGTCAGCTGTTTACAGTCAAGGCTGAACTTTCCAGCAGGTGCCCGAATTACAGATGCTCTGGGTTATTGGTTAGAAAAGGAATTCCCAGGGCCAGCTCATGCCTGCCATTTCAGCACTTTGGGAGGCTGAGGTGCGTGGATTGCTTGAGCCCAGAAGTTCGAGAACAGCCTGAGCAACTTGGAGAGACCTCATCTCTACAAAACATTTTAAAATTAGCCGGGTGAGATGGCATGCGCCCAGAGCCCCAGCTACTCAGGAAGCTGAGATGGGAGGATCGCTTGAACCCAGGAGGTTGAGGCTGTGGTGACCTGTGATCATGTCACTACACTCCAGCCTGGGTGACTGAGTGAGATCCTGACTCAAAAAAAAAAGGACTTCCTAAGCTGTGGAAATACTCAGCGGGCACATGGCTGATGTGCTGTCAACACCCAGACCTTGATGGATGTTTTTGCCCAGACTGGGGCTTCGTCCTCCTGTCTGTGTTGAGGGGATGACTGGGCAGCCTGGTGTCCTGAGCCGCGGTGGCAAGTGGAGGGGCAGGGCTGGGCAGGGGTCCTGGCCGTCGGCAGGGCCCACGGTGTGGCTGCGGGGCCCGAAGGGCTGCTTCCCAATGGGCCCCAGGGTGGCACGGGCCGTGGGACCCCCGGTCAGCGGCAGAATGAGCCCGTCTGGCTGCCAGTGTCAACTCGCACCGTCCACTCAGATGCAGAGGACCGCCTACCAAGAAGACTGTGTCTGGCTTTGGCAGTGCAGCCACCGATTGAGCTTGCTGGCAGTCAAAGGCCCACAGGGGCCACAGCTGTGGGCAGGACCTCGGAGTCGTGGTAGGAAAACCATGTCATTGGAGAGGAGACCCCGCTCGCCTTGCTGTGGATTCTGGCATCCGTTCATCCAAGGCTGAACCGAGTTATTTAAAGCACGTGTTAGAACGAGAAGGTGGAAGCTCTCGTTGTACATCGCAGGGTTTGGAATTGGGTTTGCCAGGAGGACGCTTCACCCTGACCTCAGTAGGGGCTTTGGAGGTGGACATGGGAACCAGGAGGCAGCTGATCTGGAGCAGGTCGGCAAATGCTGCCGAAGTAAAACCCCTGAGGCCGGGCATGGGGCCTCGCACCTCTCATCCCAGCACTTTCGGGGGCCGAGGTGGGAGGATCATTTAGGTCCAGGAGTTCGAGACCAGCCTGAACAACTTGGGGAGACCTCACCTCTCCAAAAAGTCAAAAAATTAGCCAGGTGTGGTGGCACACTTGTGATGGTGGTCCCAGCTACTCGGGAGGCTGAGGCAGAAGGATTGCCTCAGCCCAGGAAGTCGAGGCTGCAGTGATCGTACCACAGCACTCCGGCCTGGGCAACAGAGCAAGAACCCAGCTCAAAAATAAAAGTAACACCAATCAAGGTGTTGGTGAGATGAGGCAGATGTAGTAAGACCGATGGCAGAGGAACCATGCTGAAAACCCATGTGTCCTCGCGCGCAGCCTTAGGGTGACATCTGCACCAGGCAGAGGGCAGGCAGCACCCAGAAGGGGCACCCACTGCGCGCCGTGGCGAGTCTGGGGTCCCTGGAGAGCCTGAGCGTTCCTTTCACGGTGATGTGAGTTCATCGTGGGAGTGTCACATCTGAGGACTCAATGGGAAAAAGATGAACACAGAACGTTCTCCGTGGGACAGCACAAGACTGTCCCAGAGCCAGGTGGCCGCACTTCCCGCGCAGGGAGAGGGCGAGGTCTGTCCAAACAAAGGCTAGTAGGGGCCTCTGCACGAGGAATGGAGCTTGGCCCCGGCCCGCACGCCCGAGCAGGCTCGGCCTCGCTGGAAGGCCACCCCGCAGCTGGCAGGCCGGTTTTCTCTATGTGGTGCTTTCACGAAGGTGATAGTCATGGGTTTTTATTTTCTGACCTGTAAAGGTGTCCTCGTCCATTGTGACTTATTCAGGGGAGCATCACAGCCACAAAAAAGGACAAAGAAAAGTGTTCCAGAATCTCATCGGCACCGACAGCAACGAGTGGCGTTTCCGCCCAGGCTCTTCTCTATGTGTGGATGAGGTGGATGAGGTGAACGTCGCATTTGCGTCTTCGCTGAGTGTTTTGCAAAGTCCATCAATACTCATGTTCAGGGGCTGTGTCATACTCTGTCATGCGGGCACACGTATGGCCATGGCCTCAGCACCTTTTGCTTGGGACACAGGGTTACGAGGACGCTGAAGGTTCGGGGGTGTGAGAGGCCAAGGCCCTCGTAAAAGTCAGCGCGGCTCATACGAACACCACAGCTTTACCCTATGGAAAGATTCCTGCAATCTGATACCTAGAAAGTGGCATCTCCTTTTAGTTTGTACTTTTTTGACAAATGGGGTTTGAGGATCTTTGGGGGTGTCTTTTCTTCTATAAATTGTCCAAGTATTCATGTGTCTTCATAGCCAGTCTTTTTTTTGAGTCGGGGTCTTACTCTGTTGCCCAGGCTGAAGTGTAATGGCACAATCATGGCTCACTACAGCCTCAAGCTCCTGGACTCCAGTGATTCTCCTGCCTTGGCCTCCCAAAGTACTGGGATTATAGCACTGGGAGATACACATATGCCAAAATAGGTATACACATTTTAAGCAATGTTATCTATGTGTTACTTTTTGAAGTTGAATTGGATAACGTAGCGATGTGGAGTATGATGTTCACTCAGCTGTGCTGCCATTTTCTTTGACTGATATGCCTATTGCACGGTGACACTAGCATTCATTTGATTAACACTATCTTTTTTTTTTTTTTTTTGAGTTGTCATCTCACTCTGTGGTACAGGCTGGAGTGCAGTGGCAGGCTCACAGTCACCGCAGCCTCAACCTGCTGGGCTCAGGGGATCCATTCACCTCAGCCTTCCAAGTTGCTGGAACTACAGATACACGCCACCATGCCCAGCTAGTTTTTGTAATTTGTTGTAGAAACGAGGTCTCACCAACTTGCCCAGGCTAGTCTTGAACCCCCCGGGCTCAGACAATCCTCTTGCCTCGGCCTCCCAAAGTGCTGGGATTACAGGCTGAGCCACCATGCCCAGCCAACACTATCTTTTGAGTGAATGTCATACTTAAAATGTGTATACTCTTTTTTTTAAGAGACAGATTCTTGCTCTGTTGCCCAGGCTAGAGGGCAGTGGCCGTGACCTCCTTGATCTCCTGGGCTCAGGCGACCCTTCTTCCACTTCAGCCTCCTGAGTAGCTGGGACAACAGGAGTGCGCTACCACACCCGGCTAACGTTTTTGGATCTTTTTTGTAGAGATAAGGTCTCACTGTGTTGCCCAGGCTGGTCTCGAACTCCTATCCTCAAGCGATCCTCCGGCCGCAGCCTCCCAACGTGCTGGGATTACTCCGTGCCCAGCCTCTATGTATAACAGTAGAGCTATTGAAGAAAAGAATGGTAAAACTGTTGTGAAGTCTGATCCACACGCATCACTCTCTTCCTGGCCATCAGGTACCAGTGCCCAGCAGGCTGCCTCAGCAGCAAGGAGGCCAGGATCTTTGGGACTCTGTTCTACGAAAGCGTGAGTGTACCCGTGTTTCTCTAAACGGCTCGTGTGGAGTCTCGCTGGCTCTCCCAGGAGAAGACTCTCCTTCCACTCCTTAGTCAAACCCGGCATTCGGTTCCTGGGACTGATCTGAACCCAGGTTTACGATGGGCTCGCAAGCTTGTGAAGGACGCTCTGGAGACTGGCCCTCCTGGAGGCCAGTCCGCGTCTTAGGCCGAGGGATCACACCTCGACTCCATGGGCAGAAAGGGCTGTGGTCACTGTTCTGAGCTCGTAAAGCATCTTGTGTTTTAAAGATAAGCAACCCCAGGAGCAAAGACACGGTTGTGGAGGGTTGGGGTGGGCAAGTTTGGCCGGCCCCCTTGGCGCTCGGTGGGTTCATGACAAACATGTGGGTGCTCAGGCAGAGACCGAGGCAGAGATGGGTTGGGAAGGCGCTCACAGTCTCGCCCTCCCCGCCCGCCAGGCGTCCAGCATCTGCCGGGCCGCCATCCACTACGGAGTCATTGACGACCAGGGAGGGCTGGTGGACGTCACCAGGAACGGGAAGGTCCCCTTCTTCGTGAAGTCGGAGCGACATGGTGTGCAGTCGCTGAGGTGGGTGTTCTGTGACCCGGGTGTTCAGAAAGTCCGGAGGGCTTCACCCCAGAACTCGAGCCGCCCACAGGCAACCGGGCGCGTCCCATGCCAGTGGGACTTTTCTGGAGAGCTGCGGGTCCTGCACTTGGTTGAGTTTGGGATCCTGCGTTCTCTCCTTCCTGGTCCCCGAGAACGCTTTGGACGCGTCCTGTGAGGGCTGGCGGTGTCCTCGGATGTGCAGGCTGACTCGTGAGTGGAACCTGTTCTGACTTCCTCGAGATGAAGCTTGCTGGGGTTTTTTGGTGTGTTTTATTGTTGTTTTTTGAGTCGAAGTCTCTCTCCATCGTTCAGGCTGGAGTGCAGTGGCGTGATCATGGCTCACTGTAGCATCAGCTTCCTAGAGTCAGGCAATCTTTCTTCCTCAGTCTCCTTAGTAGCTGGCCCCTATCTGCCACCGCACCCTGCCAACTTTTAATTAATTTATTTGTAGAGATGAGGTCTCGCTCTGTTGCCTGGGCTGGTCTTGAACTCCTGGCCTCAAGCGATCCTCCCACCTCGGTCTTCCGAAGTGCTGGGATTACAGGAATGAGCCACAGCACTCGGGCCGGCTTTTAAAAATATGTCTGTAGCCGGGCTCGGTGGCTTAGCCTATAATCCCAGCACTTTGGGAGGCTGAGGTGAGTGGATTGCCTGAGCCCGCGAGTTTGAGACCCGCCTGGGCAACTTGGTGAGACCTCATCTCTACAATAATCAAAAACTAGCCGGGTGTGGTAGCGCGTGCCTGTAGTTCCAGCTATGTGGAAGGCTGAGGCGGAAGGATCGCCGGAGCCCAGCAGGTCGAGGCTGCAGTGGCTGGGAGCGGCCACTGCACTCCAGTCTGGGTGACAGAGTGAGACTCCAACTCAAAAAAAAATAAAAAATAAAAATATGTCTGTCACGTAGGTTGGAGGTCGAGGTGGACCGGGTTCTTGTCGCCTGACTCACTGGGTGTCAGTGGGGAGAGGCCGTGTCTTGGGCGCTGCTGTCCGACGTATGACACCAGGGGCATAAGTGACCAGAGCCCGGAGAACCCAGGGAACATGGGGTCCAACAGACCTGGCTCCGCTTCTTCCCCGTGTGTGACTTCAGGCAGTGTCTTCACCGCTTCTGGGTGGCCGTGTTGTTTGTCACGAGAGCTGTAGCAGGACTCAGGGCTGACACCCAGTTGGCCTGCAGTGGGGCAGTGAGTCAGTCATTAAAAAATGGAAACATTAGCCGGGCTCGGTGGCTCAGCTGTCATCCCGCGCCTTGGGAGGCTGAGGTGTTAGATTGCCTGAGCCCGCGGGTTCGAGACCCACCTGGGCAACTTGGCGAGACCTCATCTCTACAATAAATCAAAAAATTAGCCGGGTGTGGTACGCGCGCCTGTAGTTCCAGCTACTCGGAAGGCTGAGGCGGAAGGATTGCCGGAGCCCAGCGGGTTGAGGCTGCAGTGGCCGGGAGCAGCCACTGCACTCCAGTTTGGGCGACAGAGTGAGACTCCAACTGAAAAAAAAAAAAAAAAAAATGGAAACATCAGGCCAGGTGCAGTGGCTCATGCCTGTCATCCCAGCACTTTGGGAGGGCGAGGCAGGAGGATTGCTTGAGGAGTTCGAGACCAGCCTGGACAACCTAGTGAGACCCCATTTCTATAAAAAATAAAAAATAAATAAGTTGTGGTGATGCACACCTATAGTTCCAGCTACTCAGAAGACTGAGGCAGAAGGAATACCTGAGCCCAGGAGGTAGAGGCCATGGTGAGCTGTGGTCCTGCCACTGCACTCTAGCCTGGGCGACAGAGTGAGATGCTAATTCAAAAAATCAAGTGAAAACAAAACGATGGAAGCCTCCCTCTGGTAGTTAGAAAAGCCCTGGGCCCTGAGCCCTGGAACGCTCCCCGCCAATGCCCAGGCCCTCTCGACCAGGATGGAGCGCCTGGCACTGCAGGGGCATCGAGGGCCCACCAGGCCCACTGCAGCCTGGGTCAGGGCATATCTCCAGGCTTGGAGCGTTGTGGGGACATAGCTTCTTCCGGGAGGCTTGCCTGCAGGGGAGGGTGGGGCTCCCAGGGCCGGTGTTTGTCCCGGGGTCTGCGACAGGATGGCTCTGAGCGAACACTCTGAGGTGGCCTGTCCTGTTTGATTGTGAGGCAGCTCAGAATGCTTCAGAATTGAGACACGTAATTCCCCTCGGAAGTTCTTGGTGTCCAGGTGACAGCCCAGCCCTCTGTCTCTGTCTTAGCCGGAGACTGGGGAGGAGGGGTCAGTAATGAGACAGCAAGGAAGTCTCAATGGAAGCAAAGAGAATATCCGCGGAGTCGCTTGCTGGGCGACGCAATGCTGGCCACAGGCAGCCATGCCGCAGGGAGCTCGGGGAACGGTGCAGGTCTCGGGTCACCTGGGATGCTTGTGCTAGAACCTCATGCCCCTTCCAAGGGCCCCTTTGCAGCTAGAGCGGGGTCCTTCAAGTGTTAGAATTCAGCGGTCAAGCCGGGCCTGGCGGCTCACACCTGTAATCCCAGCACTTTGGGGGGCGGACACAGAGGATCACTTGAGTCCAGGAGTTCAAGAACAGCCTGGGCAACTTAGCAAGACCTCATCTGTACAAAAAAATCAAAAAATTATCAGGGTATGATCGTGTGCTACTTGGGAGGCTGAGGTGGGAGAATTGCCCGAGCCCAGGAGGTCAAGGCTGCGGTGAGCCATGAAATTGTGTCACTGCGCTCTAGTCTGAGCGACAGAGTGAGACTCTGACAGAAAGAGAAAAGGGGGTGACGGGGAAGAGGAGAGAGGAGAGAGAGAGAGAGAAAGAAAAGATAGAATTCAGGGGTCTGTGATCATAGACACAACGCAAAGCACAGTTTGGTTTTTACTGACCTCTAGCTGAAATGTGGCGTTTTCTTCCGTGACAAACGTGAGTCATAAACAGGCCAGCGTCGGCAGGGCGGGTGGCTTTCTTTCTGGAAGAGTCCAGCTGCCGCAGGCGTCTTGAAACACCGTCCCTGCTGCGCTTCCCTGAAGGGACTAGTTAGATGAGGGATGCTACTTCACATACTTGTAAAGAAGCCCAGCTCTAACCCCAATGCAAATTTGTTTCAAGGCCTTGATGACGATACAAATGGTAACTGACTTAACTTTGTAATGTTTTGCATGTATCTTACACATTTTAAAAATCATTACTATTGCTTGAACCCGGAAGTTTGAACCAGCCTGGGCAACTTGGTGAGACCTGTCACTACAATAATTCAAAAAAATAAGCCAGGCGTGGTGGTGCGTGCCTGCAGCCCCAGCTACTTGGGAGGCTGAGGTGGAAGAATCGCTTGAGCCCCGCCAGCTGAGGCTGCGGTAGCCATGAGCATACCACTGCCCTCCAGCCTGGGCGACAGAGTGAGACTCTGACAAAAAACAACAAACAAAAAAGTTATTCTGCAGAGGGGTCAGAGGCCTCCCCAGGCCTGCCAGAGGCGTCACTGGTATGAAAAGGGTTAAGAGGCACTGCTCTAGAATCTTCTAAGGGCTTTCAGCCTGTTGGGAAACCAACAGGAAAGTATAGAGCTAAGGCTGCAAACGAGACAAGCACAGGAGCAAGTGTGTGTTTTTATTTTTTTAAATTTTTAAATTTTTTTATTTTTGAGTTGGAGTCTCATTCTGTCACCCAGGCTGGAGTGCAGTGGCCGCTCCCGGCCACCGCAGCCTCCACCTGCCGGGCTCCGGCGCTCCTTCCGCCTCAGCCATCGGAGTAGCTGGAATTACAGGTGCGCACTACCACACCCGGCTAATTTTTTTTTAATTTATTGTAGAGATGAAGTCTCGCCTGCCCAGGCGGGTCTCAAACCCGCAGGCTCAGGCAATCCACTCACCTCAGCCTCCCAAAGGTGCAGGATTACAGGCTGAGCCACCGAGCCTGGCTTTATAGAAGCAATTCTGTTTGCATTTGCTAATTTGGTTGTGGTTGTGGTTGTTATTTACAGCAAATACAAAGCTTCCAGCTCATTCATGGTGTCGAAAGTGAAAGGTAAGCCGGGCAGTCCCTTCTCCAATTTCCCTCTCTTTGGTCACTGACTTGATGTTTGTCACGCCTGGGGACCACACTGTTCTCAGCCTTGTAAAGGCTTTCTGGAGGGGTCAGCTCTCTAACTGACTTCTAGACCTATCTGGGCTTGAAGCTGGGCCTGAGATTGCTGAACTGGAAGTACAGACCTGAGGCTGCCAGCTGAATGTCACAGAAGTACGGGCACCTGGGGCGAGAGTGGCTACAGGGTTTCATCGGGAGTGCCAGTGTCTATTGCTGGGTCGTGACTTCCTGAAGTATTGTGTTAAGAAGGATTCTGAGGCCTCAATCTGGGCTTGGCAGAGAACAGAGCTTGACAGGTTAGTGGTGTCTGCAGTGGATACTGGGTGAGTCCGGGGAGCGTGTGGTACAGATCTGCCATCTCTGGTCCAGTTTTTCACATTGCGTAGGGTATATGGCCACGGGACAGGTGGCCCGCCTGGAAGGGGCGCACACTCCGACGGAAGTGGAGGGATGGGTGTTCTAGGTCGGCGAGTCTGCACAGCCATCCCCGCACCCGCCCCGCGTCAGCCGGCCTGCTGGCCACGCCTTCTTTCAGGAGCGCCCTCTTGTCATTTGCCCTGTTGGCACAGTATCTGTCTAGGTACCTTTATAAAACGTGTCATCACTTTGTTTTCTCTTATTATAAAAAGAAGTCCTGTTTATTCCAGATAACTTGAAAACACAGAGAAACGTTTAAAAGAAATTGACAGGACCTGAGTCCTGCAAATCAGAGAGAACCACCGTGAACGTTTCTTCCAGTTAACTTTCTTGGAAAGCATACCCTCTAGTAAAAGTATACAGCTGGCCACGCATGCACTGACGACTTTTAATGTTCAAAGTGGAATGACCTGTACTTTGGTGATCTGATTCTTTTCTTAAATAACTGTGTCAGGAATATATTCCTGCACTTTTTATTTTTTGAGTTGGAGTGTCACTCTGTCGCCCAGACTGGAGTGCAGGGGCCGCTCCCGGCCACCGCAGCCTCGACCTGCTGGGCTCCGGTGATCCTTCTGCCTCAGCCTTCTGAGTAGCCGGAATTACAGGCAATGCGCTACCATGCCCGGCCGATTTTTTGACTTATTGTAGAGACGAGGTCTTGCTGCCCAGGCGGGTCTCGAACCCGCGGGCTCAGGCAATCCGCTCACTTCAGCCTCCCAAAGGCGCAGGATTACAGGCTGAGCCACCGAGCCCAGCTTGACTTTCATTATTCTATCGACACATGTACGTTTGTGTTCTGGTCCAAGGAACTTCTCTTTTCTTTTTTTTGATTTGGAGTCTCACTCTGTCGCCCAGACTGGAGTGCAGTGGCCGCTCCCGGCCACCGCAACCTCACCTGCTGGGCTCCAGTGATCCTTCCGCCTCA